TCCCCGGTGGGACGCCGCCAGCCTGGTTCTTCCTTGCCCTTTGCATCTGGAGGCTGGTGCCGCGCCGGGAAGCCGCAGGTAGCGGGGGCTGAGGGGAAGGGAGCAGCGACCGTGTGCGGGCGACTGTTAGGGGACTACCTCAGTTTTCCATGCTCCAGAGGGGAGCTCCCCAAGCAGGCCCTAGCGCTGATTTCTTTTTTTAAAAAAAAGTAAATTTTTTTGTGCTGAAAGTAACAAGATTCCCCTTTGAAAACAAGCAGGGCAGATGCTGAAGCGGGGGGACTCCTGCAGACCCTCAAGTTGGCTGTAGGGTCCAGGTACCATTTGGCTGGGAAAGGGGGAAGTAGGAAAGGCGAAAAGGGGGATATCAACAGTTGTGTCATCTTCCTCGATGGCTACCGATACTGGGGTGGGTTTTGTCTCCTTTTTCGGTACCGTGCACTCCCCTGGGCGGTGCAGGGATGAGGCTACTTGGGCAAAGTGGTCCAGCCAAAAATGTTGGGTGAACATGGACATTGCTGCGTGACCTAGCATCGTTAGTGCCATAACACTGCTCTTCTCTGGCTCCTTCAGGTCACTTGTTTGTTGCCCTCCTCTCTTGGGCAGAAAGAGCCTGTCCTTGCTTTCCTTTTAAGCTGTGTCCCTCTTCCTCATCGTGTGTCTGCACTAAGCGTTGTTCACTGCCAAATGCATCTCAGAGATCCTTTGGCAAGAGCCTCCCTAACAAGCACCCCAGGCAGCGGATATATATCAACTGTCCAGGTCTTTGCTGACGGAAGGGGGCTTTGCCCGTTCCCCAGATCCCTAATGCTGTGCCTTTCATTTTGCAGGAACGGAGGAAGTAGTCTTTGGGAAGGTTGGAGGAAGCATCCTCCTTTTATGCCGAAATGTCTCCAAAGAAGCAACCGAGGTGGTCTGGTTTCCCTCTTCCCCCCCGCTCTTCTCCTCAAGGGTCGCCTTCCCCCCAGACGTCCGTTTCTCCCTGGTTGACAACAGTTCTCTGCGCATCACAGAGCTGCGCGCGCAGGACGAAGGCAACTACACTTGCAAAGAAATGCTGAACAAGACGGACCACGAGCACAGGGTCCAGCTCCTGGTAGCCAGTAAGTCTGTCCCATGTCTATGAATTTCCTCCCCTGAGTCTCACAGGCCCTCAGGTTCATCTGGCACTGGTGGAAAGGTAGTGTAAAAAAGTGCAAGGTGGCCTTATTGTGCAAAATCTGCAAGCAGGCTGATCCTACTGAGTTACGCATTCACTCACAAGCAGAGCGATGTGTGTCCAAATGGTCTGGCAGGGGGTCAGCTGTGTGTGATGCAAGAGGATGGGATGCCAGCTGTTAAGTCCTCACTATGTCACTTCCTTCTTAACTGGTGATGGCAAACTAGTTTTTGAACACATCTTTTGTATCATGTAGCTGTTTCAGATTGGCCCTTTGCCACAGAATCTGGCTGACTTGAGCCTTCATAGATCTTAGGGTGTGGGCTGCTGCTCGCTGGTTTTTTTCCCTGTGATCGAAATACACGTTTGAAATAAATGTGCTGTGCCATTCCTTGTTGCCATCCTTTTGGTGTGAGGATGGAGGGTCCTCAGCTGATGAGTTGTCTGTCCCGAGTCTTAAAGCGTGCAGCCTTCTGATTTTGATGGAAACACCACAATCCTCAAATTTATTGCTGGGAGCACTGTCCTGGGAGTGTGCCTGTTGTTACCAGCAGAGGCCATTCTTCCAGCCTTTTTTTCCTGTTGTGTCTTTTGGTGCTTACTCCCATTTCCATCCCTATTTCGTTCATTCATTCTTGTAGAAATCATCACAGCACAAGTGGAAGATCAGGCTGGAGAGCATTCAAGTTGATGACTTTGCACACTGCTGGTGCAGGTCATAGAATCATAGAAACGTTTGGCTGGAAAAGACTTTTAAGGTCATCGAGTCCAACCGTACCTGTCCACCACTAAACCATGTCCCTAAGCACCTCGTCTCCCCATCTGTTAAATCCCTCCAGGGATGGGGCCTCAATTCCTCCCCTGGGCAGCCCCTTCCAGTGCCTGACAACCCTTTCAGTGAAGAAATTTTTCCTAATGTCCAACCCAAACCTCCCCTGCCATAACTTGAGGCCGTTTCCCCTCATCCTATCTCCTGTTACCTGGGAGCAGAGACTGAACACCCCGCCGGCTCCCTACTCTGGTCAGGCAACTGTAGGGAGCGATGAGGAGTGAGGGGCGCAACCCTGAACCCAGCATTCAAGGTGCAGCCTCACCAGTGCCCAGGACAGGGGCATGATCACTGCCCTGCTCCTGCTGGCCATGGTATCCCTGATACAAGCCAGGATGCTGTTGGCCACCTGGGCATACTGTTGGCTGATACTCAGTCGGCTGTTGACCAGTACCCCCAGATCTCTCTCTGCCAGGCAGCTCTCCAGCCACAAGCCTGTAGCATTGTGTGGGGTTGTTGTGACCTAAGTGCAGGACCTGGCACTTGGCCTTGTTGAACCTCACACAATTGGCCACAGCCCAATTGGTCCTTCCTGCTTCAGCCAGGGAATCATTATCTTGCCCAGATGTCTCACCTCTTCTGTGGGAACAGCCCCCTCCAGATCAGCAGGGAGGGCAGGTGCTATGGCTGGTACCACTCTTGGCCCCTTCACCAAGTCTGGTCAGATGGGACATAAGCTCTGGCCCCTCAGACCTGGGCTGTGACCTGCTGTCCTTTATGCCAGCCAAGCTCGTATTACAGGGTTGAGAAGAAGGAAAGACTGCTGCCAGTTTGCCTTTTTCGGTGACATGCCCTGCTCTGTTGGCTACTTACGTTCTTGCTGGTCTTACTGTCAACACCTGCTGTGTGTGAGACCTGTTTTCTGTTTGCATTCAGGGTGTTCCTTCCTTCTCGGTGTTTAGTGAAGGGTGCGTGTTGTAAAAGTTGTACCTGTTTTGTACAGATTAAATCTCTGTAGGTTCACAAGAGTAAAAATTCCCTTCCTGGGGCAAGGAACCTGTGGATGGGGTTTGGAGGGTCACGGAGGGCTGGAGTGAAGGAATTGAACCCTGGGCTGCTTGAGATAATATATATGTAGGCGTGAGGCTTGAGTGGGGAGCCCTACATCTGGAGCGTTGGTGCAAAACACTCATGAGCAAAGGATATCTACGGCGTGCCAACTGTTGGTACTGCACTCTGAACTTATTTATTAGTGTGGAATTAGTGTGTCAATTAATTTCCAATGGTTACAAAGGTGATTTGGAACAGTGGTGTGCCCTTAAATAAGTGAGAGAGGTATTTCTGGTGGAGCAGAAGAAGCATCAACAAAGGCCAGAAGTTTAAGAAGCATGGACTTTGATTTTTCACAGTCACTGTTGCCGGAGCAACGTAGCCTGGGCTGGAGTGAACCTCTCAGACACAGACTTGGCACCATGGTAAAAGAGCCACCCAGGATCTGTAGGCTCCATGTGGGAGTTACCAGTTGACAGTCTTCAAGCTGTCTCATGGGTCATACCAAAAAGTTCTCTTTCTGCTCAGACTGCATTTTAAAAACCACAAGCAGTAGAGGAAACATTCTAGCAACACGATGCGGGTGCAGCCCTGCCTTGAGCTGCTGTTCTGGGTTTGGTTTGGATAGGAAGGACATGGCGTGAAAGAAACGTGGAGTTGCACATCTCCAAGGGACTCCTTGGTGTGCTTGTATGCAGTTTGATATAAGCCTCTCTTGGCTCTTCTGTGGGCACGAGGCCCTTTTTACTGGTGTTTTGTGAGGTTTTTTTGGTTGCAGGGGGTGGAAGGTTTTTAGGCTTTTGGGTTTTTAACATCTGAGGAACAGATCGCCCATTAGCGTTTAGACAGAAGAGCAGAGCTGTACTGGGAGAGCCTGGGAGTTCAGGATGTTCAACTGAGGAGGTTCCTGGAACCAGCACAGAAAGTGCAGCTCTCTGGCCTGACGTCTGGAAGGGCTGTGTCCACCTCTTGACATGGGGCAGTTTCTGGTGATGCAGGTTGACGGGTTGCTCTTATTAACCCCAGCCAGGATTTGGGATCAGTTATGAGACCCTCCCAGAGGTGGGACAGAGGAGGTGGTGTAGAGAACTTGCTTGCCAGAGCTGGGTGGTTTCAAAGATCGTGTGAGATGCGTGTATGTAGTTTCTGGAAAGCCAAGCCCCAAGAAGGTATGTTCTTGTAGGTCGCGTGGGGTTTTGCCATGATGGTTTTGGCTTTTTTTAACTCACATCATTTGAAAGTCACTTGAATAAATGCTCTGCAAAATAAACATCAGGCATCCCTCTGACATCTCCTGTGTGGGGCTCGCTTTGGCAGCATCTGATCTCTCGGTGGGGTCTTGTTCAGCGCTGGATTAGGCTGGATTAGGGACACAGTGTGTTAATTCTGCCTGGATCAGAGTCCAGAATCCCTATGACTGTTAAATGAACACATGTGTGTGTGTGTGTGTGTACCTGTGCATGGGGGTGTGTGTGGGGGTGGGTGTGTGTGTGTGTGTAAAACCAGCTGCTGGGAGAGAGGCAGGAACTCTGCCCTGCTCTGCCCAAAGGGATTGCTCTTGGGTTTCTGTTGGCTTCTGACCCGCTCCTGCCATCACGTAGTTGTTTCTGTACTTCAATAACAAACATAGTTGTGGTGATTATGAAGTGGCCCTGGCATGAGGCCAGCAGTGACTTATCCTACCAACGTTCTTTGCTGGAGTTTGTCCCCACTGCTGCAGTGTGGTGTAGACACAAAGTGTGGTGTGTGGCTGAGTAATGCCATCTGGCCCCACATGGCAGGGACAGTGGTGCCGGGAAGGAGCAGAGCACGCCTTGGTTTGGCTTCAGTGGCACGTGTCTGTGGCCCTGACCCTGCGAGCTGGAGTCACCAGGACTCCCTGTGGGTAGAGCGTCTTGTACACTAGGAACAGCCTCCTCCTTCAACAGTGTGCTGGGCTGGCTGGAGAAGTGCTCTGGCTTTCAGCTGGGGGCTCTGAGAAGCTGGCTACTTGTCCCTGGGCAAGAGCACTGATGCTTTCCATGTTCCCTTGGGAAACCCGAGTGCATCTATCGGTGACGGGGAGAGGTAGAGCGTTGTTCTCAAGTAGCATGAATCAGTGTCACCCCCTTGTAGCTGTGGCGTGAGGACCAAGGGCAGTGCAGAGATTTTGTTCTCCTGCTGCTTATCTCGCCTCCATTGGATAAAGCTGTGGCAGTAGTTTGTTTCCCTGTGCATTAGTCCCTCCAGGCTTGGCTGCGGTTGCTGTGATGGCTTTTGCAGGACAGCCTCCTGCTTGGTCCCTCTTGGCTGTCGTTCAGAGTTGTGCTCCCCTGGGGCTGTGGGACACAAGAGAGCAAGATAGGCAGGGAAACCAGAAAGACTTTCAACAGGAGTGATAGCAAAACCAAGCACTTGCAGGGGTTCCAGCCCTGAGATGCCAAGAGCCGTGACTTGGAAAAGTTTCTAACCATGTGCTGTTCTTGCTGATAGATCCACCGCACTCAACCCCAAAGTGTTGGGCTGAGACCTCCTCATCAGGGCTGATGCTGCAGCTGTTCTGCAGCTGGCCTGGGGGGTACCCCCACCCTACCCTGCACTGGAGAGAAGAGGGGCACGATCTGGAGAACTCAAGCTGGGTCATCAGCTCCACGAGCTCCTCAGACACCCACGTGGAAACGCTGAACAGCTCCCACCTCTCCCACCGCAAAGTGTTCAAGTGTGTTGGGAGCCATGTCATCAAGCAGGAGGAGCCTGCATGCACTGTGGAGATAAGTGAGTTGACTTGCCTACCTTATTATTAATGAGCCTGCTAATGGTGGGGCTGACAGATACCCTGGTCATTCTCTGCTCTCCAGAGCACTAAGGCAGTGGTCAGGCAAGCCAGGCTTGCGGATGCTTGCTGGGGGGGGCAGATGCTAATGAGGCAGCATGGCAGGGCTTGGCTGGTGCAGAGGTGACTGCACAGGGCACAGAAGTCCTTCAGCTGAGATCCATCACGGCATAGTTGCAGGTGAGTTGTGTTTTAGGGACATCTTCAGGGGCTGACAGATCTCCCTGCACCAAGCTTTTCACCTGTGCAAGCACTTGGGCCTGTGTGAAAGTGAGAGGTGGTTTTAGTGCCTTGCTCATCTTGAGATTAAGTTTGATTTATAGCAGAAGGGTCATGCATGCCCCCAGTCCCCCTTCAAGCACCCAAGGGGTCTGACTAAAGTGGCTTTTGAAAACCTGAGCTGTATTTATCCTCCAGGGGTTGTCAGGGCTACAAAACAGCTCTGCTGATCCCAAGGAAAGTTCCTGGGCTGCCTTTCTCCTCTCTGCCATCTTCCTATGGCTACTGTCCTACCGTTCTTCCCTGGGGATATAAAGACAGGTGTCAGAAAAAGGACTGAGCAACACGAAAGTTTCTCGGATTGCTCCTTGGAAGGCTGCTGAAGTCTCATGAGTGAGCTGAATGCCAAACCATGGTGCTCTAGTTCCAGACTCCTGTCTGACTTCCTTCTGTTAATGATTATTAATCAGTCTGATGGCTGATTCCTTGTTATGTTAAACTTCTTTATTCCCTCCTTGACTCTTTTCTTTTTCTTTTTTTTTTTCTTTTTCCCCTTGGGCTGTTCAGAAATCCCTTCGCTGGAATCGGAGCCCCCAAAGACCTGCTTTGTGGGTGACAATGTGACCCTGATGTGCCGTGTGACTGAGAGCACCCCTGCAGCGAGGCTTACCTGGCTGCGGGGCATCACCCAGCCCGAGGTGGAGATCCAACCCGGAGGGAGGTACCTCATCACCCAGGAGGGCAACGTGTCCCGGCTCACCATCCGGAACTGCTCCCAGGGCACCGACGGGGGCTGTTACGTCTGCAAGGCACAGAACCCCGTGGGGCTGAGGGAGCTGTTCGTCTGCCTGACGGTGAAGCGTGAGTGGGGCTGCCTGGGGTTGTATGGTAGGGATTGAGACGGAGTTGGGACACAGCTCACGGGCGCCATTGGCGAGCCCCCAAGGGGCTCCGTTTGCCACTAAGAGCCCTCTTTGCCTGCTGACGCTTTGCATACTCTTGCAGCAAGTGGAGATGCAGGGTCGGTTCCCTTCATCCCAGGGTGAAAAGGCCTGGTTCCCCTCCTCTCTCAAGAGGAGCATTGGTCCCTCCTATAGGTTGTGGGCACAGAGGAGCACCTCCAAGGCTCAAGGTGCAATGGGCAGGGGTTGATTTGCTTTTGCTAAGTGCAAGTGGCACAAAAATAGGGGCCTTGCTGTGGTGTTTTTCATATCAGTGAAGCATGAGTGGCTGAAGCTCTCACCCCTTGTGCTGGAGGGACCGTTGCAATGATGGGAAATAGGAGCTGAGACAGCACCAGGACCTGCTCTATTGCTTGCACTGAGATTTCCTCATCACCTGGTGACAAGCTGGCCTCCTGTGTCTCCTCTTCTCTCCACAGAGCCAGTGAACATCGTTGGGGTTGTGGGGGCAGTGGTGGTCCTGTCCCTGTTGGCTGTTCTCACCGTCACTGGGGTTGTCTTGTACTACAATCCCCTCCTGTGCCTGAGAGGTAGGAGCTCTCCTCTGCACTAGCCAGGGAGGGGGTTGCTCCTTCCTGAGGTGGCCTGGTTTTATCCCTAACCCACTTGTCCCTTGGGGTGTGCTGTGACAATCACCCCAGCCCTTGGGCCTCATTCTGCTCCTGGTCAAAACTCTGTCAGCCCTGGAGGCAGACGGGTTGGAAACACAAGGCCCTTCCCCAGCTGAGTGCATCAGGCACCTTCCCCTTGCCTTCTCCAAGGAGCTGTGCTGTCGTGGGCCTTCTCCCCTTTCTTTGTGATCTCTCTGATGCTCTCGTTGTGTACGTGGGCAGGTCACCTTCACATCCATGCCTTCATGTGTGGCTGCCAGAGACCATGCTACTGCAGGCAGAGTTGGCACGGGTCGTACAGTAAAACCAGCAGCAAGCTGCCCGAGGGGCTGCTCTGGGAACGGTTTCTAATGTTGTCTTTTCCTTTCCCTTCTCTTCCATTCAGGTGCTGCATTCAGGTGAGTGTTGATTTCCCTCATCCCGGTCCTGCATGGCCTCACTAGTCCACCTTCTGACAGAGGTGATCAGAGGGTAGCGAATCCACCTCGGGGGCAGGAGCTGTCCCCAGAGCAAAGCTCTTCTCATGTGGTAGCTCTGCTGCCCGTGGGAAGGGGCCGGTGAGGATGAGTGAGACTCGGTGCAGGAGCAGGAGGCTGAGGGGAGAGCATTTGGCATCAGAGCAGGAGTGGCGTCGCTTTGGGATGCGCAGGGACTGTGCTGGCAAGGCACCCGTTAGTGTGGGAGGAGGTTGTGCAGGAGAGCTGCTCCTTGGCACAGGTGAGCTTGAAGACTTAGGGAGTGAATAGAAATGGTGATCTTCGGCCACCCTGTGTGGGTGCTTGCCCATGTCCTTCCCCTCTCGGGAGGGATGTCTGGTGGCTGCACATGAACAAGCACCTTCTTGGGCTTCAGGTGCACCAGAGTTCTTCTCTGCTTCCTGCTTGCACCCCTCCCAGCGCCACTGCCTTCCCCTGCCCCTGTTGGTTCTGTTCCCACAGCTGTGGTGCTGCAGCATGGGAAGGGTCTCTCCTGAGGGCCTTCATTTCCTCACCCGTACAGAAGGGGAGAATAACTCCACTCGGGAGGTGCTCGTGCAGTTTAGCACGTGAATATTCCTGAAGTGGTTGGAGGACCTTGGAAGACGGATGGGAAGCAGTGCAGAATGCCGTTGGTGGCATTGCTGCCAGCGGGGTCTGAAAGCAGCTATTCTTTGAACACGGTTAATGCAGGATTGGAAGAGTCCATCAAAATCGGTCGTTTTGGTGTAGAGGATTGTAAAAGCCAGGGGTGGCACGGGCTGGAGGGAGGGGTTGGGACAGGCTGCCCTCAGCTTTTCAGCCCACCTCCGCTCTGCTGTTCACAGGAATCAAGACTCGGGCGATGTCTTAGTGCTGGTGGACTCGGAAGATGATGATGAGGGGAAGGGGGAAGAGGAGACCATGAGCAGCTCCACCAAGCACGAGGCGATGGGGCTGGTCAATGGGAACAGCGTCCAGGCTGCTTACCCCAACTGCCTTACGGAAGGTGAGCCCTGGTGCCTGCCTGCCGGATGAGTTTTGGGGCAGGAGCTGCCTGCTCTCCTGCTAAGCTGTGGGCCTTCCAGGAGCAGCTGCCAGGGAGGGAGGAATTCCCATCGTCTGGCTTGTTGGCTCTTGCTGAGATGCTGCTGCTCTGTGCCCTGCGTAGGTGACGAAGGCGAGCAGCACGGCGGGGCCTCTCCTCAGGAAAGGAGGGGAGAAGAGGCTTGAGGCATTTAGCTTCCACCCCTTCTTGCAGAAGCACGGAGAGCTCAGGCTGGATGGCCAGCATCAAGCACCTCGTTGCCGTGTGGCCAAGCGCAGGCCGTTGGTGTCCTGCAGTGGGCTGGTTCGGTCAGAGCATCCCCACTTCTTTCTCCACTCGCCCCTTCCCCAGCTTTCACTCTGCCCTTCCCCAGCCATGTTTCTCCATTTCTTCTTTCCTCTTTCCATGTTCCTCTTTGTCTCAGGTGTCCTTTTTAACAAGGGGGCACCCAGCGCAGGCAGAGCATGAGAAGTGGGTCCCAGTAGCCCACTCATCTTGATGCCTGTGCAGACCCAGACACCAGTGCGGGATTCTGGCCCAGACACCATGAGCAGTGCTGGGGTTCTGGGGAGTGTGATGGAGAAAGTCGCCACAGTGGTCCCGGAATAACAGAAGATATCTGGTGCACGGGCGGGATATGGGTGATGCTGAGTCTAGGGAGGGTTGATTGGTTTTTTGTTATAAATATTTTTTCCCCAAGTCTGTCTGAAACGTTGCTCCATCTCTAAGTCAGAAGTTAATCCACCTTGTGGTGTGGTTTTGAGGGGAGTGCCTGGCCTTGGTGGAAAGCACGGAGGGAACTTGTACAGGGGATGGAGGGGAGCAGGATTGGCACGGGGAGGATCAGGGCAGCTGTGGAGGGGAACTGCAGGGTGGGTAACAGAGGGGACAGAGTGTGCAGGAAGGGAGGGAGGGACAGATCCAAGTCTGAGCACCCTGCCGGGGTAAAGGGAGGGACTGACAAGGCACACCACGGGCAACGGAGGGGAGCGGTGGGTTCGGAGGGGAGCGTGGAGGGATCCAAGCTCGCAGGGAGGGAGGGGATCGACACGCAGGCGTGGGAATGGCCAAGCGGAGCGGGATGGGCTGGAGCGGAGGTTGGAGGGGAGCGGAGGGCTCCGCAAGAGGGGAGCAGAGGAATAAACTGCGTAAGGTGGGGACTGGTACGAGAGAGCGTGAAGGGAGATGGAGAAGTGAGTGCACACAGGGGATGAGTGTGTGTGGAGCGCAACGGGGGGGCGTGATGGCACGCGGGGGAACGAAGGGGACCCCACAGCTCGCAGAGTGGAAAGGGGCGCTCCTGGGGCAGGCGGGGAGGAGCAGCCTGTGCACCATGGGTGAAGCGGTGGGGTCTGAGCCGTCCCTGGGGTGCGGATAAGAATGGTGTGAGATGGAGGAGAGCTGAGGGAGTCGGGGCTGGGGGGGACCCGAGCGCTTGGCGGGGCAGTGGTTGGGGTCCGGTTGTGCGCAGTGGTCTCTGAAAGGAAGAGGAGCCTGAACAGAGGTTTCTGAGGGGCTGGGGTAGGGTCTGAGGGCTGGGGGGGACTGGAGTGGGGGTGGGGGGGCCTTGAGCCCTGGGGGGGAAGACGC